AGCATTGTTGGTATTAACAGATGTCCAGGGCTGACTTCTTGGGATTGGACAATCTATGTGGGAGCTTGTCCATAAAGGAAACTGATTCTTCTTCTCTTAGCATCATTGACAACCTGTAGCCCTTCATCTAGGGGTAGGACCTTATGTAGTTTCCCCTGTTCACGTTGGCATGTTTAGGGTATCATGTAGTTGAGAGTGCATGGCGCATTGGCCCTGTCATGTCTATGCAGTGGTATCTATCTGCAGGGGTCCTGGGCTGCTTCCTCTTCCATGATGTTCTCTGAGCTTCAGGGTGGGGGTTGCAGCATCGCAGGGGTGTCCATTGGAATGGGCACTCCACTGTCAGTGTTCTCTGCATTTTGACCAGTTGTGTATCTCTGTATAATCCACTGAGCATGGCAGTGCACATCTTTAATCCCAGTAGTTGAGAGGCAGGAGTAGGTGGATCACTCTGAGTTAAAGACTGGTCTAATCTACATAGTAAATTCAAGCCAGCCAGGGCAGGGGGACAACACAGTGAGATCCTGCCTCAAAAGTGGAGGAAAAGGTTCCACAAAAAGTAAAAAAGTGACCTCCATGTGCTTCTTGGCTGCATTCACATGCTTGAAGAAAACTCACCAATACACACACACACTGAAACTCTATGTAAAGTCTGCCCCCTGCTCAGTTCTTTGCTGCTCCCTCTGTGTCTCTCCCAATAAATCTCTTGTGTGAGGTTTGTGCATGACTTTGTGGTATTCCTTGGCTCCTGACTATCAGGATACCTTTCCCTTCAGAATTGTAGCATCCTTACTGGGAAAGCCTCCTCCCTCAGAGCTGTAACACTTAGACAGGCCCCATCCATCATTACCAAAACAGCAAGAAAAAACCAAGCCCCGCACTGACTGGAATAGATCATTAAGTAACACAGAAGAAAAGGAATAGTAAATACATCTCATTTATTACTTTTAAAGAGAAGCACATGGGCTGGAGAGATGGCTCAGCCACTAAAGGCTAGGCTCACCAAAAATAAAAAGTAAGCACATGGTGAATCTTTTGGTTTGGTTCAGGGTTGTTTTGGCTGTTTGAGACTGGCCTCAATTTCGGGATTTGCAGGTGCACACCCTTATCCCACCAGCTACAGCTGCAGCCACTTTCTTTTTACGGGAGGGTGATGACCTGGGGATTGAACCCAGAGCCATAGATGTGCTAAGGCAAAACTATGCTCCCAGTCCCAGCAAGAGCATTCCTAAGAATTTCCAAGAAACTTTCAGCGCCCATTGCTTCTGAGATGACACCGTTAACACACAGGAGAGGAGTGGGCATGTCTTAGGTTACAAAATAAAAATGTGGTTAGATTGTCGATTGTTGTAATAGGAGCGGCGGGGCTGCGTCCCCAGCACCCCGGCTGCCTGGCTAGCTTATGCCCCGAAATAATTACACGGACACTGTATTCTTTTAAACACTGCTTGGCCCATTAACTCTAGCCCTTACAGGCTAATTCTCATATCCCGGTCAACTCATCTCTAATAATCTGTGTGGCATCAGTCTTACCGGGAAAGATTCTAGCCTAGTCCATCCTGGGTCTGAGCTTCATGCGTCTGCCTCAGAGAGCAGAGCTATCGCATCTGGGAGCATGGCGTCTCTCTGAGCTCACTTCCTCTTCCTCCCAGCATTCTGTTCTGTTTACTCCTCCCACCTATGTTTTAACCTATCAGGGCCATGCAGTTTCTTTATTGCTTAACCAATGAAATCAACAGATTGATCTATGACACTCCCACATCAGTCGATTTTTTTTTTTAATTAATGAAAAAAAAACCCAGCAGCTATATAGTAGGAGTTGGGGGAAGAAGTGGTTGCTTCTGGGGTGCTTTGTCATGTAAACAGGAGCAGTAAAGGGGGAACGCTTACCTGGTCTGAAGAGTAGCTGGCCTTAATTAATTTGCAGATGAATAAAATTAAGCAGAAATCCTTTATTCCTCCTTCTGTTGAATACCTCTCTAACACAGACTCCTACCTGCCCTTGGCATGATTTTTATTTTCTTCTAGATGTGTGGCTGAAGCTGCATGGTTGGAGCATACCTGGTCATGCTTAGGAGAATGACTTAGTGTGAACACAACTTTTACCATGAAAACATCCCTGGAGAGTATCTCTAAGGTCAACGAATAGTCATTTTTCAAGGTTCATAATATGTAGAGCTTCTGGAATCATCTGAAAGCTTTACATATGCTGATGCCAGAGTCCTGCCCACAAAGATTCCATCCAGATGAGTAGCAGCAGTCTTGGTTTTGGATGTTTTTAAGCTTTCTGAGTTAATTCTGACTGGAATTCAAAGACTGAGGAATCACTGTTTTGAAAACAGAATATTGAGAGATATTCCCACCATATCAATTTTATTGCGATAGTATTTTGTCATGAACAATCTGCCTCTAGGTTGAAAATTTTTTATATGTAGTTACATAAAATACATTGATAAATTTAAAAATGCAAAATTATTCAATACAAAGCAACGTCTATGCATGGGTAAACGATGGTTGACTGAGACTTTTGGGCACATTATTCCTCCTATTTATCTGTTAACTGTGCCTGACACCTGTATTAGTGTAGGTCCAATAGTGATATAGAAACCTCACAGTGGTATAAATGGGTGTGTTTTATTCAAGGAATAAACCATGATAAAAGGATTAGCTGTAAACTGAGCATGGTGACACATGCCTTTAATTCCAGCACTCAGGAGGCAGAGGCAGGGGGGATCTCTGAGTTTGAAGCCAGTCTGATCTATATAATGAATTTCAGGCCAGCCACGACCACATAGTGAAAGAATTAACTATAGAAAGTGATGTGGCCCCTAAGCTGATAGAGTATCCACAGAAGAAGATCTGGTTTAGAAGGGAGCCCCACATGCTGGCACATGCACTGAGCAGTAGATTTGATGAGCTGAACAGCAGGAAGCACTTCCAGGCTTCTTGTATTTTAACTGGAGCACTTGCAAGACCCAAGCCAGTCACAACCAGCCAGTCATCAGTTAGTTGCTTACATATCCATGGAAAGGAGTCCTGGACTTGTTGATGGTTAGGTGTATGGATTGGGTGGGTATCATCAGTGCAGCAGGTCTAGAGCCCAGTGCTTCTGTTAATAGGGCCACTTTATTGGTCAGCAAGACAAAACCTATAGAATGGGAAAAGATCTTCACCAATCCTACATCGGACAGAGGACTGATCTCCAAAATATAAAAAGAACTCAAGAAACTTGACATCAAAAGAACAAATAATCCAATAAAAAATGGGGTACTGACCTAAACAGAAAACTCTCAACAGAGGAATCTTTAATAGCTGAAAGACAGTTAAGGAAATGCTCAGCATCCTTAGCCATCAGAGAATTGCAAATCAAAACAACTTCGAGATTCCCTCTTACACCTGTCAGAATGGCCAAGATCAAGAATACTGATGACAACTTATACTGGAGAGGATTTGGGATAAGGGGAATATTTCTCCATTGCTGGTGGAAGTGCAGACTTGTACAACCACTTTGGATTTCAGTATGACAATTTCTCAGAAACTTAGGAAACAACCTACCTCAAGACCCAGCAATACCACTTTTGGGTGCATGTCCAAATGATGCTTTCTGCAGAAGGAGCTGCGGGCTTCATTCCTGCCACCCTGCTCCTGGCCGCCTGGCTAGCTTATACCCCGAAATAACAACACACAAACTGTATTCATATAAACACTGCTTGGCCCATTTCTATTAATGTGTGTAGCACCACGAGGTGGTGATTTACCAGGGAGATTCTAGCCTACGTCCATCTTGGGTCGGAGCTTCATCGCATCTGCTCCAGAGTGGAGAGCTATCGAGTCTGAGCTCACTTTCTCTTCCTCCCAGCCTTCTGTTCTGTTTACTCCACCCAACTAAAGGCTGGCCTATCAAATGGGCCAAGGCAGTTTCTTTATTAGCCAATGACCTTTCTCCATCAGATGCTTAATCATACCATAATGACATGTGCTCAACCTTGTTCATAGCAGCATTATTTGTAATAGCCAGAACCTGGAAACACCTAGATGCCTCTCAACTGTAGAATGGATAAGAAAAATGTGGTACATTTACACAATGGAGTACTACACAGTGACAAAAATTAATATTTTTAAATTTGCAGGCCAATGGTTGTATCTAGAGAAAAACATTGAGTGAGGTAACCCAGACCCAGAAAGAAAATATAATATGTACTTACTCACAAGTGGCTTTTAGACATAAAAGAAAACCAACCTATAGTCGCTGACCCTAGACAACAAAGAGGACCCCTAAGACAGCCATATGTGAATCTACATAGGAAGGAGAAAAAGACAAGATCTCCTGAGTAAATTGGGAGTGTGGTGGTCACAGGAGAGGGGTAGAAGGGAAGGGAGTGGATAAAAATGTATAGCTCAATAAAAACAATTTTTTTTAAAAAATCAGGGCAATTGCTATAGTACTGGGTGATCCTCCATTTCTGACTTAAAATCAGGTGATGACAGTCGGTTGAGACAATACTTTGAAAAGCACTAGCCTGATGGAGGGTGTACCTTCTTCCATATTTCTCACACAATGCTCAGCACTAGTCTGCTTCTCCACAAATGTGGACCAAACAAACTAGACAGCTGAGATACTTTTTATTTAAAAAAAAAAAAAAAAGGCAGGGCAATTGCTGTAGTCCTGGGTGAACCTCCATTTCTGACATCCTCTCAGAGTGACTCCATTCTGTATATGTCTAGCCCAAGACTTTGTGTACTGATACTATCCCTATCCTCTACCCAGTGTTGAGTCTCAGACCCAGGGCCTCTCGCAGACAAAGCAAGCAAGTCCTTTTGTACAGTTTAGCACCCTCCCACTCACAGATCAGACTCAGACTTACCCTGTGGGCCAGTTGTGATTCTCCTGCCTCAGCTTCCCAAATAGTCCTGTGTCGCCCGTCCTGGTTGCTTTTTCATGTTTTAATAGGTTTTTAAATCAGTTGTCATACTAATACCATTTTTTAAATATTTAATAGGGTAAAAGAACAGGAAACACGAGAAGAGGAACGTTTGATGGAAGAAAAGAAAAAGAAAAAGCAGGAAGACAAGAAAAAGAAAGAAGGTGCTCAGAAAAAGGTTTGCAGAATTCCGTCCTCTGTGCCCTTGCGGTTGTGTGTCACGTCTGCATTATTGAAGCTATCTTGTGACCGCACTTGATTTCTAGAATTCCTTCCTCCATGCCCTTGCAGTCATGTGTGTCGCATCTGCATTAGCATAACTGTCTCGTGACCACACTTGATTCTATTACTGTTTTAAAGCAATATGCTAAATCTATAATTAGTAAATAATAGCTACTTGGCTAGTGAAGTGAGTTTAGGGTGACTGCTGCACAATGTCTTTTCTAAAAGAGTCAGACGCACCAGAGTCTTGTTTCCAGGGGCTGTATAGTTGATGTGTCAAGAATGCTCATGCCTTCTGAAAGAGGCTTCAGCCCAGAGCAGCTCCAACTAAAACATCAGGAAGGGGTCATGAAACTGACAGCATTAGAAAAGCTAGAAATAATTTTTGAAGTTTTGGTAAATATTCTTTATAAATCCTATTTATAAATGTTAAAATAAAAAGTTCTACAAACCAGTCTAGAGAGATGTCTCAATAGTTAAAAATGTTTGCTGCTTTTCCAGAGAACCCAAGTTCATTCATAGCCACCCACATTGAGAGGTTTCCAGCCACCTACTGTAACTCCAGTTCCAGGGATCCAGTACCCTTTTCTGGACCCTTTGGGCACATGCACTCACATGCAAGGTCACACACATCTAGGTGCGCATATGTACACAAATATACATACATAATTAAAAATCTGTCTTTTAGAGTTCTTTAAACCTTATTAAACCTTATAGTCATATTTCTGTTTCATTCCATGTATACCAAATTATACCACCCATCTTTGTTTTCACTTAAGTAATGTGCCTTGAGTTTGAGGCAAGCCTGCTCAACACAGTGAGTTCTAGGATAGTCACGGCTCCGTGTCTCAAAGAAACTGGAAGAGAAAAGCCTAAAATGAAAGTCTTCTTAATTAACTGTCATCAATATGTGCATTCCACACAATCATTTCTAAAGCATTTCTGATTTTTTTTTTTCAGGCTGCTGATCAAAAAACCAAAGGTAAGTTGTTTGGTTGTAATATATATATTTTGGGAGGGGGATACTTTTTATAGAAGTACCAAACTTTGCAACAAGGTGACTTTTGTAAAATTTATTTTATGTTTATAGACAGATATTTTGCCTGCATATGTATCTGTGCACCAAGTGTATGTAGTGCCCCCAGAGCCTAGAAGAGGGCCTTGGAGCCTCTAGGACTGGGATGGTTGTAAGCCACCATGTGGGTGTTGAGAATTAAACCTAGATCCTCTGCAAGAGCTAGTGCTTTCAAACCTAAACCACAGAAGGTGACTTTAAAACAAAGGATCTAAGTTTGTCTTTGATTCTACCTTTATTATACATTTTGAAGCTCTTCATTTATAGCTGGTTTTATATAGCTACATTTCATTGACATTAGGTTAATATAAAACTGCTTAGAAAATACCTGTGTTTTCAACAACACTTTTAAATTTCCTTTTGGTTTCCACCAAATAAGGAATGAATTCAGGAAGATGATTCATTTAGAATAAGACCCAGAGAAAGCTAATTTTTTTTAAAGCTTGAACTTCCTTACTGCCAGCTATTCCCTTGTAGACTTAGTCTGTTTCTTTCTTGCTGATAGTTAAGAGGCTTCTTTCCAGAGCTTACTTGCCTATTTATCTTAACAGTGTTGGTAGAAACACAGGCAATTCTCAGTGTGGCTCAGACATGCTTGGTATGCTGGAGGTTCAGAATGAGCTCAGGGAAGCTGTACCCCCAAGCCCTCCACTTCATACCTGACACAGTAGGGACACTCATGGGTCACAGAGACCAACTCTGTTCCAGCCATGACAGTGTACTTCTTTAAGCTTCAGGTATTGCATCTTTAAAATGAGAAAAATGATGGATTGTTCTTGCCTCGTCAAGTTGTTGTAAAGACAGATGCACTGACACAGAATGGGGCCTATCCTTAGAGCGTAACTGATGTCAGTGAAGGGATGCTGCACTTCACTGGTGCCTCAGTTTTTCTGTCTTCCCTTGGACGAGATGCAGTTGCACATGTACACTTGCTGGCATTGTAAGGGCTTTATAAGAATTCTCTCAGCTGTAGTCTATACCAATACTTCACTTCTAGTTGGTATCTTGTAATTTTCAAAGTTAAAATTATATGTATGATCTTACTTGAATTTACTTCATAACTAAACAGGACCTGAGTTCTTCATTGTACTGTAGTAAAGGCAATAACTGGTGCTAGCGCTTCCCACCCTGTGCGTTAGTCCTTGCACCCTGTTCCTAGAGTTGCATCAAGAGATGCATTCACTGTTACATGAATATCAGAAGCAGCAGGGGTACAAGGACATTTCTGCTCTGTTAGAATATTTTCAGAAGGGTCCAAAAGGCTTGGCTGTGGCTGTATTTGAATTTATGATTTCAGATAAAACAGTGGTTCTTAGCCGTCATTTATAGAACTCTTTCTGTATCTTTCACTCCCCCCCACACACACTTTTAAAAAGCCATTTTTGTAATATGTTTCCATTGTCATTTATTAATTGTTTACTTCCCAACATTGACTGCTCACAACTGTGTAAAGACTGAACTAACTGTGCTGTCCCTTGTATGGGATCCCTGCTTTGTGTTACTGTGCTGGCGAGTGGCTGACAGCTGGGCTCTGTTATCTCTTCTGAATGGCTGGGCCAACTACCCTTTGGGTTTGTCCTAAAAAACAGTTGTTTGGGGCTGGAGAGATGGCTCAGAGGTTAAGATCACTGACTGTTCTCCTGTTCAATTCCCAGAAACCACATGGTGGCTCACAACCATCTGTAATGAGATCTGATGCCCTCTTCTGGCCTGCAGGTGTACATGCAGACAGAATACTGTATATATAATAAATAACAAAGAAAATGCTTAAAAATAAAATATAAGAAATAAAATTTAAAAAAACAGTTGTTTGTGTTCTTATAAATAAAACAATCTAAAGTACTTCTCCATAATTTTCTTTTTAGTCAATTAATTATTTCTATTTTAAATGTATGATTATATTGCCTGCATGTTTACATATGCTCCATATGTGTGCCTGGCACTTGTGGAAGCAGAAGAGGGTACTTGGGTCCCTTGGAATTGGAGAGTGGTTGTGAGCTGCCGTGTGGGTGCTGGGAACTTGCCCATTTCCTCTGAAAGAGCAGCCAGTGCTCTTACTCACCAAGTCATCTCTCCAACCTAGATTGTTTTCTAATGATGATTCGCAGCATCAGGTTTCCAACTTTTCTCAGATTCCACCATTAATCAGCCCCATCAGAATCAGCTGCTGTGAGGTGACACTCACTTAGTTAGGCACTGGTGTTAGACAACACAGCTGATTTAGTGAGGACATTTGTGCTCACATAAGACCGGTTTGCTTTTGTACCCTGCCAATGCTGTGTTTGTTTCCTGTCATGGCCTGGCAATACACAGTGCAGGGGCTGCATCTGCTTGTTTCTTCTTGCTTCCTAGACCCCTCACTCAGCTACTGCCTTTCTGCTATTCTAGGCCCTGGCATTAGTGAGTCTCCTTGTTGCTGTTGTTGTAACCAGGGCTAGTAGTATTTTAAAGGTACAAAGTTCATCACAAAGCAAGGAGAGTGTGGAACATCACATAACAGACCCTTGCCCACCTTCTCCTGTCTCTGCAGCCAGTGGGCTTCAGAGCAGCCCATGTCAGGAAAGTGGTCAGAGAAGGACAGCAGCACTCCAGACAGGGGTGGACCTTGGGACACACTTCTCCTCCTTATAAATTTAAAATTGTGGTTTCTAGAAAGTCTTTGTAAAATCATAACTGAAATTGGGCCTGTGCCTGTGTGTATGTCCACAGAGACTGGAAAAGAGAATGTTCAGTCCCCTAGAACAAGACTTTCAGACAGTTGTGAGCTGCCGTGTGGGTGACTAGAATCAAACCCTGGTCCTCTCTAAGCCATCTTTCAAGTCCTGGCCTACAATCTCTTTATTGGCGGTCTAGAACATCCTTTCTCTGACATCCTGCCCCAGATTGTACAAGGAGGAACCCTATATTCTTTGTAGACAGGAACACTGCTTCTCCTCTCTGGGGCTCTGCTTGCAAATAGTGAGTCCACTTTTGCCTTCTTCCAGTATTTTTCACCCTCTGGGCATACTTGATCTCTATCCCTAATTAATGCTCTACATTAATGCCTTCCTTACAGAAAACATTGTAAAACTGAAGGGTAATGAGTTCAAGGTTAACCTTGGCTGCAGAATGGAGACCTTGCCTAAAGGGTGAGGGGAGATCACAATAGTTCAGTTGGTAAAGTGCTTGTTAAACAAGCATAAGGACTTAAGTTCAGATGCCAACACTGCGTAAAAAAAAAAAAAAAAAACTGGGTGAGATGGGATATGCCTGTAATTCCATCTCTGGGGAATTGAAGATAGGAAGGTTCCTGGGATTCTCTGGCCTAATTTTGCCAGTTGATTAGCTCCAAGTTCATTGAGAGACCCTGTCTCAAAAAGTAGGTAAATAATGATAGAAGACAGCTAATATCAGTTTCTCTTCTTTCTGCATTACATGCACACATACTACACACACACAATCCTAAGAAATGTGTCCATCCTGCGCTGTAATGTTTATTGACCATCCCTCTTATCTCGTTAGGTATTCATTTAAGTACGCAGAATCCAATGCATTCCACAGTTTATACTCCTCTTATACCCAAACACTAAACTGTTGAAAAACCTTCCTGCCACCTGGATGGTGGTGCTGCACACCTTTAATCCCAGTACTCTGTAGGCACAGGCCAGTTGATCTCTGTGAGTTTGAGGCCAGCTTGGTCCACAGAGCAAGTTCTGGGATAGTCTGAGTGGTTACACAGAGAAACCCTGTCTTGAAAAAAAGAAAGAAAGAAAGAAAAGTGGGAGGGGACTGAAGGAGAGGGAAAAAGGAAAGGAAGAAAGTAAGAAAACTTTCTACTAAGCCTGTCCATAGACAAAAATTTCCTGGTAAATTCTCCTGCTCGTTATCTTTGTACTAGTGACTGAAGGACAGCTAATACCCGAATCTCCTCCTGCCCTAATGAGACCTTAGTGATCTCCTGACAGTAGGGAAATGGGGTAGATAAAATCCTGTTGTAAAACATTAACTGCTGCCTTGTTTGGTAACCAGTGTCCAAAGAGCAGCAATCTGTTTATTTAGGGTCCTGCCTTAATTTGGGTATAGATAATAATAGCTTTATATGTGAACTTTGTGAGCCTGTTATTTTCTGGGCCTTTTTCATTGATTGGTAGGTATAGGGCAGAATTAACCACAGTAACATGGTACTACTCATAAATGATTGATTTCAGCTTAATGTTTTTATATTCTTGAAATAAATATAGATGAGTTTTCCTATAAAAAGTTGAAAAGCACGTCGCCTATGAAAGCAAGTGCTCTGCTGTTCATTATGATGACAAGATCACTGAGGTGCGGTCTTAGTGGTGCGGCTGTGGGCTGACGTCCTGACATCTGTTCGCTTTGTAACTACTAGTTCTCAGAGAACCTTTTCTGCACTGTCATCAGTGTAGCCATCTGAAGCTGTAGTCTTTGAGTAGCCATGCATGGAGTTAGGTTTCAGTCACAGGTTACTTGCAGCTCACTTGAAACACAAGCTTTTTATCAACGTGAATGAAGAGTTCTGAGACCATGGGTCTCATCCTTACTTAATGGAGATGAAACAAAACAAGAACTTGATTCCACATTTGTTGTAAGAGCTGCGCGTTGCATTCCGCCACCCAGCTCCCACCACCGGCTAGCTTTACCCGAAATAACAACACACAAATTGTATTCATTTAAACACTGCTTGGCCCATTATATCTAGCCCCTTCTCGGCTAACTCTCACACCTGGACTAGCCCATTTCTAATAATATGTGTAGCACCCCTCGGTGCGCTTACCGGGAAGATTCTAGCCTACATCCATCCTGGGTCAGAGCTTTATCGATCGCGTCTGCCGGGAAGAGGGGAGCGTGGCCTCTCCTCCAGAGAGCAGAGCTGTTGAGTCTGAGCTCACTTCCTCTTCCTCCCAGCA